AAATACAAGTTAATAGGTATAAAATTAAACCAGATGTTAGATTATTGAACTGGAAAGGCAAGAAGATTCAACACGTCTGTTGGGATTGGCAAAATTAACCTTATTTGGGAATGACTGTTTCAATGCATAAAGAACAATAACAAAAACGTATATTTTTTGTATCATTCATTTGTTCATGATACTGCTGTCAATGTGGACGAAAATGTTTTTCATTGCTGTTGTCTATTTTGTATTAATTCATTTCGCAATTGAGTTCAAACGTGGCAGGAGGTTGTATTAGGCCAACTGGAAATATATTATTGTTTTGTTGTTTTTTTCCTTCGATTTTTCAGGAAAAAAAATGGAGCGAGCGGGAGGCATTTGTTTATCATTTCTTATTTTACCTTTCATTATTTAGACTAGTATTATGCATAAAAGTACTGTAATATAAAGCTATTTGTTCCAATCTGCCTTAGTTTGTATTCTAAAAATAATGGATTGCATGACGGAATGAATACCAAACAATAAGCTCTGGCCGTTGATCGTAAAATAGAAAACAAAGGAGGCACGGAATGGGCGGGAACAAAAACCAATCATATGGCGAGGACTCAACAATAAGTGTCACAGCTTAAAATCCTAAAATTCGGGTTTCGATACTGGCGGTGGGTATAGCAGAGATAGCATACGGTGTAGCTATTGTCTGACTGAATAGTGGAATTTTACCGTCACTCTTATAGCGCACCCACAAGTAAAAGTCCGGATCGCATTTTGTGAAAACGGGACGTGAGCCAAGAACCCACGAATTCACAGCCCAGGTATACTAGCCACACCGACCTCGTTATTCTGTTAAGGTAAGATGCTGTACGTGCTTTTCATACTTTGCGCCGAAGCGGCGAGTGAGTCTTTTGTTCAGGTAGTCTTTTCTGTATGGTTAGCTGCATACTTGAGAACAATCATTTTGCGCATACAACTTCATTTGCTTTCTCTGTCCCTCTCTCCGCACACACTGTATAATATTTCTGAGTTGGTGAGAATAATGCCCTTTGAGCCCCGGTTTATTTAGGGAGGCTAAGCCTTCCCAAACGTCTTATACGCGCCGCCCTTGTTTTCAGGTAAACAATATCTTTCGTGTCTATAATAACTAGTCCATAACACTATTTTCGATTCTTCGTTATAAGATACGTTACGTAAGATCTGTAACGACTTCCTGTAGTTCCACATTGTAATATAAACGATACGTGTTGCTCTGCTGGGAGACGATTTTGCGACGTATCCGCGAATGTCTAAAAGCTGAGGTCTAAAATAAAATTAGCCCCCCCCCCATTGGCACAGCGTTGTATGTCTGCGGACTTACAACGCTAGAATCCGGGTTTCGATACCCGTGATGCACAGATATCCCATCGTGTAGCTTAATTACAAAAAAAACAAACTAAAATAGAATTAACAGGATAAAGGATATATATATTTAACGTATCTTATTAAGGATATATATATTTAACGTATCTTATTAAGGATATATATATATTTAACTATTTTATTAAGGATATATATATTTAACGTATCTTATTAAGGATATATATATTTAACGTATCTTATTAAGGATATATATATTTAACGTATCTTATTAAGGATATATATATATTTAACATATCTTATTAAGGATATATATATTTAACGTATCTTATTAAGGATATATATATTTAACATATCTTATTAAGGATATATATATTTAACGTATCTTATTAAGGATATATATATTTAACGTATCTTA